GCAGGAAGTAGTCATTCATTTAACAGAAAATTATTCCTTTTTTTTTTCTTTACAGAGTATCTGATTTTAGCTTTGATTTAGCAGAAACCTGTTTTTCCTCTATTACATGACATAAATATAGATCATACTCAGGTATAGAACCTGATCCAAACCCAACCTGATTCAGCATTTTGGATAAGGTGAAATGCAAAAGCAGAAATGTAAGCATGTCAAATTAGTATCTTTAAGTAAGAGAAAAATAAAAAGATATACATACAGGCATCTGGGTTTCTTATTTAATGAAATGTCTGTAAACTGCAAAGAAAATAGAAACAGGTTATTAATATTACATTAGCAAGTAATTAAAGTACAGGGATAAAATATACGCAGTCTTCAAAATCATATTTCCTTTCTCACCTGCTGTTAAAACTAGAAGAACATTCATGAAAGAAATGGGAAAAAAAAACCCCTTTTACAGATTATTACTCCTCCAACTTATTACATCTGTTTTTAAAATTCGTAACGTGTGAGTTGCTAGTGGTTGGATTTTTTTCTCCATTATTTTTATCATAACTATAATCAAAGTAAATTGCTAAAGAAGTGTGGGCTGAACAGATATCTTTCACATTAGATTAAACACTATGGATACAATGAGAAGTAATTATTGTGTTCAAGATAATTAATAAGGGACAGTGCCTGAATGAGCTGTATTAAATTAACTTCCCCTCAGAGCCTTTAATTTTGCAGTGATACATTTCCTTTACACAAGTGGCTAGGAAACTCCAGCTATGAGCCCTTGGCTCTGCCTACAGCAGCACTGAAGGGTGGAGGGCAAGAACATAAGCATTTCTCTCCCTTCCCACCCCTAATCCTGAGACCAGCGAGGGACAACATAGCCTCAGTGCCAGCACAACTTCGCATGACTTCATTTTTTACAACAGTTTGGTTCACAGTGTGGAAACACTTTGTCTAGTCCCTCTTTTAGTGGGGGGTCAGGAAAGGAGGTGTTTAATGCCAGCTCAGCCTAAATCAGTCTGGGTACTAAATTGGTTCTTTGTACTGATCTCCCATCAGTGCTACTAGATTGCGCCTTTGAATATCATTTAATGAAGTCACTGAGCCAAGCAAGTCAGATCTGGCTTCTGAAAATGATTACGTTCTCGTAAATGTTCCCTCTGTCCCTGGTATTGTCCACACTTTGCAGATGGATTTTTGCCCAGCCTAACTTTGCTTGTCATCCGTCTTGGATGGAGTCTGGAGCCATCTCATGGTGTGCTTTTCTGTAATTACCTCCTGAAGGTCAGGCTGGTCAATATTTGGATGGATGACCTTAGAGGAATGCTGAAGTCATTCAGAAAGCAGGGCAGCTGCCTCAAAAATCAGTGCCTTCCCCAAGGGACGCTGCTGAGCCAGGGAACCCAGTAAACACATTAAGAGCAGGGGGAGATGATTTAATACTGAGGCCCATCTTTACAGTCCCCCTCAGTGTTCTCACAGACACTGTTTGAGATGTCCTGTTCGGCACATCTACATTTATTCAGCTCTTGCCTAAAGTTCTTTGTCTTCCAAGTGGCTATGGGAACCTTTGCTTTCCACCACTACATACCTGTTCAGTGCTGGGCATGATCAAATGCCTTTCCTCTCACCTCCCACGATGAGCAGTAACTTAGCATAGGCAGCATGGGGTATTCATTTAAACTGGAATGTTCTTTGGAAGTCATGTGGATAAAAC